CCCCCAAACACACACACATACACATACGTGGGTGATTGATGGATGCTCTGGTGCGGTTAGCTTCTTAAATTCTTTCCTATCAATAGGCGTACTATCAAAAATATTTTTGTCATTATCTTTCCTCTTTCTTCTCTTTGTACGTTACGCTATTGTAACACCTCTAATCTTAGGAACTTGTATTAGTTAGTTGTGTTGTAAGTGCCATAAAACTCTTACTTATACACACACACACACACACACACACACACACACACACACACACACACACATACACACACACACACACACACACTCACAATCACAAGCATCTGTGTTCACTCACACAATGACTTGATCACGTTCACTCAGAATTTCGAAATTTAACCCTGATCGCAAAAAATAACATAGAAAAGGTAGGCCTACTTTGATGACACACGCGCAGATGTACTTGAGTTCAAATATAGTTCAGTCCAGTTTTTGTCAGAGTTTTACGGTACTTGCAACCTTATAAGGTCATGTAGGGCCTAAGTCCCGAAGCTTAGGGGTGTTATTAGAGAGTTACAGATACAAAAAAGGAGGAGAGAGATCAACAGTTCAATGCCGATTTTAAAAATCAGTAGTTTGTTACCCTAGAATAACAAAGATCTGTCTGCTTAAAGCCCAGTTTTGGGAAATTTGACGTAAAAAATGTAGAGTTTCACATGTTGAGCTTTTTCGAATGCAATTCGTTGAATATCTTGACTACAACTCCGAATAGATCTAATCTTATTATTTTGACACAGTCAAAAGAACATTAAAATTTGGGTTCTGACCTCATAGTCTTAGTGACTCAAAACGTCCAAAAATGTCACACAGATCTTTATAATTCTAAAGTAGCGAGTTGATTTTTTTTAAAACCCAACATTTTTACCTGAAGGGCAGATGCGTGTTCAATTGGCGAGGCGATGGCAACTGGTCAGCTTTTAGTACCACTCCCATTTCAAGAAGTCCGTAGCTTTTCTCCACATGAGTAGTGGACTTCCTCATTAGCATATCGATGATAAATGAACTCCAGTGAGTTCCTGGAGCAACGTGAGAGAACTTCAGCTTGTTCATGAATATTCATGTCACTTTTGTTGGTGCGACTGCGCGAGTGTACCTGTGTGTGTGCATGTGTGTGCGTTTGTGTGTATGTGTGTGTGTGTCTGTCTGTCTGTGTGTGTGTGTTTGTGTGTGTGTATTTGTGCACTTACATCACCTATTTTTTTGTGTTGTGCAATATGTTCGGTAAAACTCTTTCTGAAATTAAAACGAAAGCTACATCTTTAACTATTTTTATACCAAAGCTGATCAGAACATAACGTTATATATATATATATAT